TTATGCATTCACAAAGTGGCAGGAGTCAGGGCTGACAGGTAGGAATGGTAGGAGTCGGGCTCACACAACACACGCTGCTTGGCAAGAGCTCTCATCCCATAAATCGATCCGTTCATGAGACTCGACTTAAATGTTAAAAAACGTCAGAACCGGTAAAATGATCAATTCTGCATATGCTGGGTGACAAAACTGTCGATGTTAGGTCACGTGTGCTTTAACGACATTAGTGAAGGCTTGACTGATGCTTTGCATGGTCAGACAGTAAACCGTTCTGTTCTTTTTGAAGTTTTGATCGCCTTGAGTAGAATATTCGATCAGCTAGACGACTTAACAGTTGGCCTCAGTTCAGCCATGTGATTCCATACCAGGCCACAAGCAAAATGTATCAAGCAAGGTATACAAGTACCGTGCAAAAACAATTTGTGACCTCCGTTCACCAAAATTGTGACGGACACATCTCAACAACGTTTACTCCCGTACGCGATGAGACCGAAACCATCAGAAAGTAACATCAAAATTAAATGACCTGCTTTTGAAGTGGCTTGATTTTGGTTTGGCGCGATGTTTGACTCTGACATTGAAACCGTGATCCTTCATTTTAAAGCGCAGGTGTCATAGTCCAAGGAGTCCAAACCTATTATTTCAACCCGTTACCATTACCAGGTCTGCAGCAACTACCACAGGTGTCCACTGGCCCTTATCTGTTGAGAAGTTAAATGCTCTTCAACGCCTTTTTTCGTCACTGTGGACGTCACCAGTCATGTCATCGATGCCATTGCAAAATCCTGCACTATCATTTGCATTCGAACATGTCCCATCCGATGACTAGATCCTGGACCACCATGGTGTAATCACTCGAGGTGACGGTACTTTTACTCCCACACGGCGTCGCAATTGGCAATAGCCGAGACCAGCAGTTTGCGTTTCATGTTGAGTGATGGAACGTCTCTATGCATGGCGCACACACGCTGCTCGCTGTTGCAACATCGGTGTGACACAAAGACAACTTGATGACAGCAGCTCATTTTTTGAAACGGATGCATGTGTCTTCTTGATGAATGGCATCCCCTCTCTCCGTCGGATGTGATCTTCCACTCCTCCAAAGCACTGCGGCGTCGGTCGGGTCAGGTCAGATAGGGTTCGATCACTCACTGACACACAAAGTCGCCTGTTTTTAACAACGCTTGCGACTCGCTTTGCGGCTTGCCCTTGACCAGTAGACTCCAGTGTTGGTTTGCGACCAATAGCACTGTTACCCTGCAGGGACTAGCAAGCACCCGTTGCTATGTAAATGTTTTCGCAAAGCAGACATACAGTTGACAGTTTTTGAAACAGGTCGTTGGTGCCGAGAAAGTCAGCATCTCGTTGTCAGAAAAGTGGATAGGTTTGGATTGCTGGAGGACACTCAGTAGGCGGTGTAGGTTGAAGTCGCGACAGGAGGATGCGCAAGCAAAGTTTACGAATCATCAGCCATAAGATGAAGCTACGCTGATTAGCTGGAAAGGGAATCCAAACATTTGCTTGTCGGTAACAAATTAAGAGAACGGCCGAATACATTTCCTGTCTCCGCATTTTGTCTGCACCTGCTGGAATGGACTGGATGGATACGAAGGATTGCATGGATGAAATGCACTAGATGGCGCTATTGCCACCCCTTTGTACCATGTCATGAAGTTACTGGCAACGGATTTCGCAGTTGGGTTCTCCCCAAATATTGACAATGATTGCGATGGGTATATAAAGATTGAGGCCGCGAGGCCAAAGG